AAAAGGGCTTTAAAAAATGGGGTAACCCGGACTTTTGATTTTTTGGAATTTTTTTATTAAAAAAAAGGGGATTAACATAATAAAACTTTGGGCCCAACCTTTTGTTCATTTTCCCCAAAATTGATTTTTTTTTGTTATGCAATTGTTCAATTTTTGGGGCTAAGGGTTTTACAATTTAAATTTGGGCCGCCCCTATTTCATTTAAAGATGGGGAAAAAAACATTCATTAAAAAGTGACGTATTTATGTAAAAATGCATCTTTCAGAAACTTGAAAACCTTCAACATTAGGGGCCCAAAAGGATTTTAAGGGGAATTTTTGTGATTTTTACAAGATCTAAAATAAATAGATTTTTTTGTTAAAAGTGAGAATTTGTACAATTAAAAAATGGTATAATTACATGTATTTTGATTTTTTTCTTTCCCGAAATTTTTAGCATTGTTCTATGGGGTTAAATTGCGAAATGCCAAATAAAACCGTGCTAAAATGCAATAGAAGTTAAAATCAGAACCAAAACTAATTTTATAAAGACAGTTTATGATATTTATTCTGCAAGACAGTTCAATCGTGAGGGAGATATCGTGGTGATGTCGCCAAGGAGACAGCTCTAGGGCTAGTTAATGAGGTGTTAGATATTTGCCAAATTACTTATTCTGAAGGTATAAAAGCAAAAAAAAAACACTTTGCTAATAAATGCACACAATTAACCAAATATGGTATGAATCTCGACACAAAGTCAAACAGTAATGTCGTTTCTTTTTACGCGTTGAGCCAATATCCAACAAATACTTGGCGTTTCTTTTGAATATCATATTTTACCCCATATCTTTATACATTTTATACATTTTTAGTAAACCCTCCTGTAGCACATACAGAGTTCATCTGTATGTCCATGTTGTTAATTACCACCAAATTTATGCGTGATGTCTTTATATCACACAACTTAGTATTTACTCTATTATGCGTTTATTTCCCATCAATTGATGGCTTCGTCTATTTAGAAAAAAAGTTAAAAAAAAATAAAACAACAACAAAAGAACAACAAAACAACATAAGTTTTGGAAATAAATTGAAACCTAAAACTAGTATCAGTAAGAAAAGTTTTTGCATATGAAATAATTGTATATAATCACTGAAGAGCTCCTGTGTAACATATAACTTCTTCCTCCACAACAGGTCAGTCTCGGGGAATAAATATCATATATTTTGTTTAAAAACTTAATTCTGGGGACCCGATTTACATAATGATTGCATTTTGGACGTAACAATTCTGCTTTTAAAATTTTTTTATGGATTTTAATTCAAATTTTCTGTTGAAAATAAAAATAAAAAAAGCTCTATTAAAAAGACAAAAAAAAAATTTTTTTTAAATTTTAGCGGGGGTTTTTTTTCTTTATTCTTTTTTTTTGCAATGCCCAAAGTATACCGTTAGTGAACATAACATTCAAAAATTTAAACATAAATATCGTTTTTATTAAAAGGAAATTGTTTTAGGGACTTTTTAAAAAAAATGATATACTTTTATTAGTTTTATTTTAATTTCTTTTTTAGGGAGTTTTGGGATTTTGCTGGAAATGGTTTTTTTTTTTTTTATTTTTGGGGTTAAAATGACCTAAATACCTTTTTGGGTAAACGTTGCTTTTAATAAAAATGTTTCTCTTTTTACGAAATTCAAAAATTATAGTGATTTAATTTAAAGAGATTCAAAGGGAAAAAAGTTACATTTTAAAGACTTATTTTAGTTGGAGTTCCCAAGCGTTTTTATTGATATTTCAATTGGGTTTCTTATTTATTGTTTTTTTTTTTGGGTTCGAGGCGTGTTCGGGGGTTCGGTGATGGTGGTTTAATAGTGCCCTTTTTATGTCAGGGCCATCATGCGTTTGTGAGCATTCTGGAAATAAAGTCTTTTGAATTCGTTGTGATGGATGTCTTTAAATAAAAAATACATGTATAACCGAAAAGGCTGATGTCTTTTAGGAGCATTGACTTCAGCGCTCTTAGGGTAATTAGATCCTGTTCAAAGTGGTGCTAGGAGTGGGATTCGGGAAGCAGACTGCATTTATCACTGCTGTCCATGAGCAGATTGAACAAACTGCACTTTGCACCTTGTGTATTTTTTAAATTAAATCTCCATTTTTACAATCTTTTATTTTACTGATATAAAACGTTTGATTTCATAAAACCGTTTTGAAAAGAGTACATACAGCTGTATGAAATGAATTTGAAAAAATACATATGAAGACTCTAAGATGACTAAGTCGTTGCAAAAAATTCTGAAAAAGTCGAACCTTCTAAATTTTTTTCGAGTTTATAAAGCATGTATGGCCTGAACACTTTATATTTTTGGGTCATTTTATGTAATTGAAATAATAATCTAAAAGAACACATATTATTATTAAAAAAAGACAATTTCTTTGAGTTTCTGTCTCCATATAGACAATAAAACAAAAGTTAAAATAACAAAATTATTTAGTATACATTACTTTTGAAAATAACTCCATTACACGTTTTTAATAAAACCCTTCTTTACGATATTTAATTATTTTTGAAAAAATTTTTGGGAAACATATAAAGTATTCTTTAAAAGACCCAATTTTTTCCCTTTGAAACAAGAAGGAACCCAAAGTGGGGGTTTATTTAAGCAATGAATTTTATCCTTAAAAAAAGTGATTTTTTTTCGGGTAAATAAAAACAAATGTTTGGAATTCGGGTTTAGACGAAATTTTATACAAAGTTTGAAGTCCGAAATGATATAATGAAAGCACTGCCAAAAAGACAAAATTCAAAAACAAGGCACAAAGTCAAAACTAAGGGGTTCTATTTTTAGACAGTGGGGTTTAAAATCCTCATAAAGTTTCTCGCAAAACAAAAAAAGCTTTCAGTAAATCAAAATGATTTTCAAACAATTTGGTTTTTAGATGGTGAGCTTTTTGGAAAAGCGAATTTTACAAAAAGTCGGAGACCTAATATATATAGAAAGAACGAATTGCCGAACGAAAAGGCCAGCACGTCCTGCAGGTCTCTTGCGGCTATATTACTTGGGCTAGAGCTTTTTGTGACATAAATTGCCGTGAAAACGAATTCTGACTAATTTACAACGGAATAAGAGTAAGGTTTTATGAAAATGCTCTTTTTAAGAAAATAAAAAAACTTTAAGTACAGAAAGAACAAATCGGCAACCAAAAAGGTGATTATACCATGCGCGTCTCTGGTGGCTATTTCCTTGAGATAGCATTAACGCAGCCATATGATAATATAACTTAAGCGCAATTGACAACTTGACAAATTGATGCATATTTTCACAAAAGGTTTTTTAGTGGGTAAAAATCAATGAAAAGTTTCATTTTTTTCTTGTATAGGAAAATAGATAATATTGGTTTAAAGACATTTTCTACAGTTTTTGGAAAATTTAATTCTTTCATAGATTTTTTTTTCGTATGAAAGGTAAAATTCAATGACGAATTTTTAGAAATAAAAAGAAAGATGACGTGTTGGATTTTTTTTTGTAAAATGGCTGTTTCCATGATAATCGTGTATCTCAAAACTGTGAAAATAGCAACACTTTCTTATTGATAATAAAAAAGTATAGGACAACTTTATACACACGATGAATATGACTTTATGCAAAGATAACTTTATTTTGATGGAAAAAAAAGAATAATCTAAACAGATTTCTTTACAAAATGTTATCTCTACAAAAAAATGCGAACAATAAACATGAATTCTGTAAATAAATGAAGATATTTCGAAAAATCTTTCATTTAACTTCTTCTTTATCTTTAATATAGAAGATAAAAACCTATGGTGAATTCAGAAAGGTAAAAGTAAAATATATGTTATCGTGTTGGATTTCTTGTAAACGGGCAGTTTCTATGGTAGCCGCATACGCTAACTGTCAAAATGATGACCCTTTCCTTAGAAATAACAGTGTGAATACAAAATGCATTGTTATAATATATACAACAAAAACTAATGGAATTATAAATTATTGTTTCTATTGATGCTATATGAAGTATATAGTACGCAACATGTAATTCAAACAAAACACTAACAATTTACATCAATTAACCCTTTACCACATATATACGCGAAACAACGCACTTTCGACCCCCCCCCCCCTTTTTTAGGCCTCAAATAGTGAAAAAATGTCCTATTTGGGCCCCAAACATAAGTTTTCGTTTGAGAAATGTTGCTAAAAAAATTGAGCACTTTTTCGGCGCCGCCCCCATCCAAAAGATACATCAGGGGGTTGCCAGACGGGGGATGTGAGAGGCTAAAAATAACCCCAGGTCGATCATAATGTAACGTTGAACCAACGCTGAAAAGCCTTTGACTCTATCTCAATCCCTTGAGAAGTTGCAGCACTTTGAAATAAATTTTGATGGAAAAAATCGAGGCAAAATAGTGATTTTGGGCAATTTTGAGATGTCCCCTCGTTGCCATGTTAACAGGAAATTTAAGACTAAGCATGTTGTTACAAAGGCAATGTTCCAGTCAACATTTGTGCCAAGTTTGATTAGTATTGAAGCATTTTTCATAGTTTCATAGCAGTTTGAACTTGTAACAGGAGGCTTTTCAGTGAAAACGGCCATTTTTCACAATATGCTCATAGGGGAAAGGGTTAACATCGTGGTGAAAATGTTACGCAGAGAATTTTCATGCTTTGCTATACCTTTCCATTCAAAATATAATTATGATGCTTCACTTGATATACCTTAGATATCAAATATATTGTTTTATGCATGTATACTTCAGTGCAGGTCCTTTAAAACTAGTTTGTAATGATAGTACTAGTTTATCAAAAGGTCGAAGTATATGTTGAATTATACTTTCTTTAGGATTAATATAGTTTAGATTAAATTTAACATAAAGTTTAAAAAATTTAAAATTATTAAATTCACCGAATAATATACATGTAAAATCACGTTACAAAATGGGTAATCTTCTGTTTCTTTCCACAAATAACAAAGACCCAAAGCAAAGGTGAAGGAAATACAACAATGTAAATGACTAGGTGCAACAATTGTAAAGAATTTGCTGTTTAAACATTTGCGGACCATATAGGTTTTTGATAACTTTGATATGTTTCAATAGAAACCAACAAAGGAAAATAAATTTGTTAATTATAAATAAAACAATGAAATAAAAAAGAAAATATGAAATCAGAATGATTGATTAAAATTTAAATGAGAAGATAATGAAAAATATGCATACTGCTGCTTTTGTTTTTTCCGATAATTTTCAAGATTTCAAACGCCAAAGGGAAAATTACTTTCTTATATTTCTGCGCATACATGTGTATACAAAAAAGCAAAAAAGTATAAGTTTTCTAACACAATTTTTATTATTATTTTTTGTTGTTGTTGAATGTTTGCATGGTATATACAGGAATCAAATGTCCAATATTAATTAAAAGAGACATGTTCAAAGTTTAAAGAAATTTTCCATAATAATCACTTTCCATTTCCATAATAATTGTTTATTAAATCATTAACTTATTTCCTCGGTCTGTCCACTCTCTCATAGACCGGACAGTTTTCTAAGTTTCTCCTTAACAGTATGTGCTAATCATTTTGTCGGATCGAGCTTTCACAAATTAACAAGACCGACATTTACCTAAACAAGCAAAGATGTAGCGCCTAAAATTTGGATTAAAGATATAATAGATTACTGGGTTAAGGGCGCTATTTATGTACGGTAATTTTAAAGCAAATTGAAGACCGGCGTTAAAATCATATTCATTTCCAGAATCCAACACTATTCTTATGAAAATGCGGATTGCAAAGTATGGGGTGAAACAAAGAATAAAAATCATTGTCACAGCGAAGACCATGAGTGTAAGTTTTACTTCAGATGGTTTCCTGATACTTGAATAATCAAATTTTGTTGATCTGTTGTTACTCTGCTTGTCTGTTTGTTCATCAGTAGATATTGTTACTGTATATACCTCGGTTACATCCGTTTTCATTTCAGATATAGACATGTCATCTAATTCAACGTCCGAAAGATTCCTTGTCGGATTAACCCCGGTATTGGCATTTTCACTCTTTTTGGAAAAGTTCACCTCTCCATCAATTTTTGAACTCCTTGATTTTGAAACGGTTCGACTATTTTGTTCTGGAGGTAACGACTTTGTCAGAAAAACTCTTCTCGTTATTATAGTATAAATAATTTTAGAGTAAGTTACTACCACAGTTATCCAAATCATTAAGATAAATAAAAAGTCAATGGCGTAGAAAACAAGAGCAATTAGTTTATAATCGTCACTTGTAGTGCAGTAAAGTCCTTTTACTGTTGTATTGTCGTCATGTACCATAACATTTACTTCAACAGAGTCGAAAGTTACCAGAAATCTTATTGCCAACAGCAATGCAAATGATGTAACACCAACAACTAAATATTTTACAGTCGAAATTGTCATTTGTTTAGCTAATGGATAACAGATCTTCCTGTACCTATCAATTGAGATCAGCCATAGTACGAAACAAGCACTTGCACCAGCCCAGAGGCCAAAGAAATGAGTGAGCTTACATGCGATTGCAAGAGAATAGTTCACGTTTACGATCATCTCTGAAATGACTGGAATACCTGCAAGGCATGTCCCTAAGTCAGCAGCGGCCATACATGTAATCAGTAACGTTGGTGGTGTACGTTTTGATGATCGCATGTAAAATACTATTGCCATGATATTACCAAAGATACCGATAATAACAAGCACATATAAGATCACTGTAGCAGGCACCAGTCTTTCTGCAATTTCCCATTGTATCGTTGTTAAAATATCCTTATTTGCCATTGTATTCTGTCTCAACGTGATATTTTCCCTTGTGTTATTTCGCATCGTGATACTTTTTATTGTGCTATTGTCCATTTCTTTTAATTTACTTGTTCTTTATTTCATTTCAATGTTTTGAACACTATATTATAGTATATATTACTTTTCCACATGTTCACAAAGTTTAAATATTAAATAAATCTTGATTACTCAAAGTTGTTTTTCCTCACGGTTGACGAATAAATACAATTGTTTACGTATTCATTTGATTTATGTAAATAATTGTTTTTAAATTTTGCGTTTTCCAATCTGGCAAGACGATTAATGAGAATATATAACGTAAATCTTTTAGCATTAATGGTCGTGCCTTTAGTCATACATTATTTAATATTTTGTTCAAAACATTCACTAAACACTTTAAAAATGATTTGTCTTTATGATGGAACTGTTCTCTTGGCATTAAACGAATTTAAGTGTGTATACAATATTGAATATATCGAAATTTGCGGGAATCGGCGATATCATCGTGTTGTCCTATTTTCCACCTCTCTTCATATCCGCTCTCTACACGCACAGAAAAAGATATAAAAGAAATTTCATTCATATAAAGTAATAATTCGTTGAAAAAATAAAAGTTATGTGATTTTATGTTTTGTAATAAAAAGAAAAACTGTTTTTAAACATTGGTTACTTTTATCCAATTAATACTGGTTTTAAAATTAAAATACATTTTACATAAACAATAAAAGCCGATGCAAATGACTTTTGTACATTTCTTTCTGTTTGAAAACCCGACTGGGATAACATTAACCATATGTAACGAGCTCTACAAATATGTATATATATATATATTAACTCAAACTCTTGACATTGAAATCCCTTAAACTTTGAATGAACTGTCCCGCTCCATATTTAAGGCAGGGCAAATCCATTTTACAAATTCAGCAGACGTGTTGCTCAACATTCCCACATAGGTAGCATCAAGATTTGGTTACTTTAACCAATCAGCGAATGGAGAAAAAAATGAACAAGGAACTTAAAAAGTAAGAAAATTAAATATAAATAGGAAAAAATATCGTTTACTTGTTATGTTAACGAAATTTAATATCATATCCTTGAATTACATAGACTGGTTCATCAAATTCTCACCATCTAAGTAAACAATTTATATCCCATAAAACCCCCTAAAGTGCAATTTAGCTATAATTGTATAACAAAAAGAACAACTATGAATACTGACGCAATTGTATGTAATATAATAATTGTTTCCTTTTTGCAATGTCACATGTTTTTAGGATTTTTTTTCAACTTAAAGTGAAATTATGCTCATGTGTAAATGGTGAGTGCACTTGTTACAGTCAAAATAACTTAACTTTTAATCATCGTTCTTTAAATTTTATCATTTCCTCACATGAAAGGGTTTTTCCTTGCTCGAGGATCGAGCCAGCACTCACCCTTGGATAACTTATTTGCTTCTCTCTATATATAGCTAAGTGGGCTGACATACAAGTATATTAATCAAAATCATATCAACCATTTTAAATATACACCTTAATTATATTGCTTACAATACTTGTTTCTCTATTAATGTTTTATAGATTGGACGACGAGATATAAATCATTACCTGTGACCTGATTCAATTCCCCTTATCTGTCTTCCCAGATCCAGTTGAAAACTATTTTAATGCATATTTGTCAAATTGATAAAATACAAATATACAGTGCTTAAAAACAATATTATAGAAATGCTACATGTGATTGAATAATGTCTAACTAACTATGCTCATAAAAGTTAAATCATATTTATCACTTTTATTGGTTATAAAAAATGTCATAATTTGTTAAAATATTTTTATCACTTTAAATTTAATACAAACAGCGATATTTTACTCCGTTTGGCTCCAAATCGAAAAACAAAATAGACTTACAGAATATCATAAATATCTTACTTAATTGCCTTGTTTCTATGTTTTTTCCCTAGATAATCACAATATCGTAAACAATATCAGGCAATGATCACGTAACATTCCTATATCATCAAAGAGACTTCGAAGTGCACTTTTGATGTACGTTTAATCCATTTTTAAAAAATTGTCTTTCAGATAAAAATGGATCAGATAATTACATGTATTGAGTGAATTTGTAATAAATCCACTCATTACAATTTTATTAACTTCTTTATCGAACACATCATGTGGCCTACACACCATTTTTTCCATTTCAACAAGTGAGCCGAGAAATAAGGTCTATTAATTTGTTCATCAATGAAAAAGATATAAAGAATTAAAAAGAAAAATACGAAAACAAAAGTTTCATCAAAAAGGGAAAGTCATGTGATTCGATGTCATAAACCTTAACGACTCACCTTAAGATTCAATTTGATTCAATTTACCTTGAAAGGTCTAATGAGTTACATTAACAGTTCAAAAATTTTTTAAAATCCTAATCTAATTCTTAATCTAAATTCTGTTTTCCAAGTTTGTCGGAAATTCTAAAGACTGGTTTAAAAAGTAATTAATATTCTTATTAGCTAATGATTTTAAAGATAAGCTGATTAAAATTTCTTTACCTCATTCACGGAGTAAATTAATAATTAGCGTTAAGCAAAAAGTTTCGTCTCCGATACTTTTTGTAGCTAGTTTTTTTCTGTTTCTTCGGGATTAATGATTCCAATACTTTGATGTTGTCAATTGAATACTGCTTAACCCGGGGTCAATGGCATGAGAGATCTTTCACTTATATTGGTCATAATTTCATCTGTTCTATTAGTCTTATAAACATTGCTTGATTACCATACTGATTTTCTTGCTCACCGGTACCTTTAGCGGATCAACACTTAGAAAATTTGAAGTACAAGTAGACTATGGTAGGCCAGCAATGGTGTTTTTCATTGGTTCGTGAGATCAGGTTGTTCCTATCATCTCCTGTGGTACCCCGATAGCGCAAAAAGCTACACAGAAATAGAAAATGTCCATTTAAGATAGGTATCAAGTTTGCGATGAGCATGACATGGTTAAATAACATTTTGATGAGAATACTGGAAAAAAATGTATTGGATATAAATTTGTATAATGTATGTTGTGTTATAAAATTTTCGAGGTAGCACGTACGCAGCTGATTCGCGATGATTAATAGTGAAAATTAAAACATCGCGGAAAATACCTGATTGACAGTATCCTAATAGTTCTGGATATTTCCACATTATAGACCAAGTTTGGTTATTATCCATCCAATTTTACCGATTATTTATTTGGCGTGATATAAAATGGTTAAAGTTGTTTTCCTGTTCTCAAAGGCGTCAAATTGATATAAATATGAACTCTTACTCGATAAATCGTTACACTTAGTTACCGATGCTAACTTTTATTTTAAAAGTAGTTTTATTCTTTAAATATTTTCGTTTAAAAACCCG